AATACAAATGCATAAAATTGTAATTTTTAATCGTGACTAATTTTTGACAAATCCATAATTTGAAAAGAGAAGCCACTCCTGTTTGTTGCTGGGCGTGAGAAAAAGAGAGAGAGAAGAAAAGGAGAGAGGATAGAAAATGGGTGGTTGGTGGCCTGGTGGGCTAGTTTTTTTTTTTGAACCCAATCAGGTTGTTTTTTATTTTGGGTGGGCATAAGTGAGATATTGTACAACAAAATATATATCTATATAATAAAGTAGAACGAAGTTTGAATCCAAAAGACAAAAGGAGGTTCATATCGTTTTGAGACAAAACATAAACACATCCAACGGACAATGTAATCTCAACATAAAAGACGGTTCAAATCATCTCAAAAATTATGATCTAACGTTCAACAATGAGTACTATATTTTTCTTTCCCGCCCAACATAGGCCTCTGTTACACTCCTCTCCCTCTCACTTCTGCCTCTATCTCTCTCACGCCTCTCTCTCCCAATCTATCATGCCTCTATCACATGGAATCCATCTCAAATCTTCTCCCAATCTAAAATCTTACTCATAATAGTGGCATTAGGATGGCTACAACAAACATAGAGACAGACAAAAGGCATAGAGAGAGAAGGAGAGGAGAAAGGCAGACACAGAAGATCCTCTGTTTCAGGTACATAAATTACTTTGATGAATTAATTTGATAGATTTAGATGACTGATTGTTCATTTTATTGCATGTATGTATTGAATGCCTTCGAGTAAAAGCCAAGAATTGTGTTAATAGATTAGATAGATTTAGATGACTGATTAATCATTTCGTTACATCTATAAGTTGAAGGCTTCCATAGTCCATTCACATTGCCTTTTTGATGTTAATTTCAGAAGACATTTAGTTTTACTCTGAACAAACCACTTCTCTCTTGCCTCTCTCATTTTCCCTTTCCTACTCTACCTCCACCCCTTCATATCATCAACACCCACCACATGTTTGATAGTTTGCTTCAAAGAAAATGCATTATCAATTTCCAAGTGTAAATCGTCTGTGATTTTTGGGCAGGGAGAGACATGGACTTGACAATTCAGGAAGATTAATATGCAATCATTTTATATAGTGCTTCTTTGAACATAAATTACTTTGATGAATTTTTTTTCCCTTTTCAGGTAAAAGCCAAGAACTTCATTAATGAATTTGATAGATTTAGATGACTGATTGTTCATTTTGTTGCATGTATGTATTGAATGCCTTCGAGTAAAAGCCAAGAACTGTGTTAATAGATTTGATAGATTTAGATGACTGATTAATCATTTCATTACATCTATAAGTTGAAGGCTTCCATAGTCCATTCACATTGCCTTTTTTATGCTAATTTCAGAAGACATTTAGCTTTGGTAAAATTGTAACTATCATGTTATACGAAAATTACTTCACCTCTTTTGCATTAACATCGATGTCTAAGCTTTATTTTTCATGATGATTTCTTTTTGGAAATAGGTACTGGATGGCTCCCTTCCTTGAGTGGTTATAAAGTAACCCATATTTTTCATCAAGAAGTTGTTATGAGACATCATTGTGACTACTAATATTTATTGAAGATAGATTTATTCGTAGAAATCTTGATTTGTGGCTATACAGGGGTTTAGGGAAGCATCTGGTCTTTACAGATCTTTTTTTATTCTGAAAAGACTCATTTAAATCCTCGAACAATCAGTTTTCTTTTGGATAGTTTATGGTGCCTGGAAATGACAATTTTAATGGGTTCTGTATGTTTCAAGGTGTACCCTGCTCCTCTGTGCCACGGAGCAGCAAACCAATACGTGTTGATTTGTACTATTGAAGTTGGTGTATTCGTGCAGGTAATAAAAACTTTATTGCTCAAGCTCTTTTATTGCTTCCACGGACATTTAAGCAATTTAATTGAAAGTTTGCTTGCTGACCTAAACAACTGTGGACAACATCTTTGGCAATAATCCTTCCAGTTGGATCAAGAACTTTGATTGTTTATGCATGCTTTTTTCAATTGTCATCTGTTTGTATTTTGTACAAACCAATTGAGATTGAGTATAATTTGCATGCTGTTTATTTTGATAAATATTTACGAAAATGTTAAAATTTGATGGTCTAACAGTTTAACTTTTTTTGAAATGAAGGGTGGATAGACGGGTTTTGTTTTAAAGGAAGGGTGATAGTTTGCTTCAAAGAAAATGCATTATCAATTTAATGGTAGTTTGTTTAAATGTTAAGTAATGTACTATCTTTATGTTGATTTGATGGTTTAGTCCTGTTAATTTTATGAAATTTAGATTCTTAATTTCATAAGTGCATTCCTATAAGTGTTAAGGCAGTAAGTGTATTTCAATACGATAACTATATTTATGGGTGTAAAAGAGATAAAATTTGTGGGTCTGTGTTATGACATCTCACTGAATGATTTTCTTGTTGGTTAGTATTCTATTTTTTGCTTCCCATAGTTCTGTTAGTCTTCATATTTTTGGTTATTCTAATTGGCTTACACTATAATTCTAAGTGTATTTTTTTCTTGGTTGGTTAGGATATATTTTCAAGTAGAGATGTCATGAATGTATTTCCTTTGGCGATGAGAAATCACACCACTCAGTATCTTTTTTCCCATAATTTTGAAAATTAGCTGCATTGTGTTATTTAGGAATTTTAGCTTTGATGATGGCCTTCAACTGAGATGATGTCTGAATAATGTAGTTTGATTTGATGCTTTGTCAATTTTCTAATTATATAGCCTATCACCAATTCTCCATCAAATTCTAATCTCAATTTCATAAATTTCACTACTTAACCACATTAATTTCACAGCAGTTTCATTGCTACACGTAGTTTGTTTCGTGAATCTAATGGGAATGTGGTTACTTGAAATAATGAATAATGTGCACACTTTTTGGTACTTGATTTGGTTTAGCTTTTGTGTACTCAATAGACCTTTTGTTGCATGAACTCATAGAGATCATAGATGCTCTGTTTGGATATTACTTTATGATTAGATTTTGCTATTTATTATGGTTACAACCCCGCAATTTTACTCTTCATCATTTTTTTTGATTTCCTCACAGTGAAGTCTTTGGAGAATAAATGTTGGACTCAAAAAGTGAGATGGAAATCCTTGCGGCATTGGATGCAATGAAGTCCTTGAAGGTGCCAAATATACATCTCTTTGATTTTTTTTAAAAAAATTTCTTTTTATGAGAAGTTTTGAACTAGATGTATAAAGTTGGGTTGACAACTCTTCATCACGGATGATATTGTTGGCTTTGGAGTATGTTTTTACTTACAATTCTATTCACTCATTTTTTGATGGGTGATGGTGGCTGCATGACGGTGGTAGTGGTAGTGGTAGATAGAATTGAAGTTAGAGATAGATGACCTTTTTTTTGTGGGTTTGAATTTTGGAGTGAATTCTATGGTTGTTGATTCAATTTTCTTTGATATATTGATGCAGCTACTGTTTCATACATGATATTGGGGTAATTTCGATTTTGACTCGGGATTTTGTTCAACCAATTCTCTCTCTCGCTGCTACTTTATTTCGTGGAACAATATTTTCGATTTGTTTAATATTCTAATAATCCAGGTTTGTAGAATATTCATGATTTTTGCTATTGTTTCTTCTACTATCAGTAAAGATTTGTTTATGTTGTTGATTTGATTATTATGAAATTTATCTATTATCACTAAATAGTTCAATGTCCAATATCAATGCTTTTTTTGTACGTGGACATAATCAATTAGGAGTATATTTGCACATTTGTATCTATTTTTTGCTCCTTGGCACTGCTACAATATTATTTAGTTCATAAATAATTTAAACATTATTTAGTTCATAAATAATTTTAACATTATTAAGTTCATACATAGTTTAAACATTAATTAGTTCATAAATAATTTAAACATTAATAAGTTCATAAATAATTTAAACATTAATTAGTTCATAAATAATTTAAACATTATTAAGTTCATAAATAGTTAAAAAATTATTAAGCTACGTTCATAAATAATTTAAACATTATTACATTCATAAATAATTTAAACATTATTTAGTTCGTAAATAATTTAAACATTATTTAGTTTGTAAATAATTTAAACTTTATTTAGTTCCTAAATAATTTAAACATTATTAAGTTCATAAATAATTTAAACTTTATTTAGTTCATAAAAATTTAAACATTATTAAGTTCATAAATAATTTAAACATTACTAAGGTCATAAATAATTTAAACTTTATTAAGTTCATAAATAATTTAAACTTTGTTAAGTTCATAAATAATTTAAAATTGTTAAGTTCATAAATAATTTAAACATTAATTAGTTCATAAATAATTTAAACATTATTAAGTTCATAAATAATTTAATCATTATTAAGTTCATAAATAATTGAAACATTATTAACTTCATAAATAATTTATAAATTATTATGTTCATACATAATTTAAACATTATTAACTTCATAAATTTAAACATTATTAAGTTCATAAATAATTTAAACATTATTTAGTTCATAAATAATTTAAACATTATTAAGTTCATAATTAATTTAAACAATACAACATTATTTAGTTTATCAATAATTTAAATCAAAATCTCTATAATAAACCAAACTAAAACCAAAAACTATAACAAACCCCAAATGGGTTGTATCTATTTCAAAACCAAATAATGCAGCAAAAAAAAAAAGGTAACTTGCATATTTTTGTGTCAAAGAAAGTGAAAATTGTTCTTCCTTGCGATATTTTTGAATGCAGTTGTAACTAAGTATATAGATTGAAATTCTTATGATCTCATGTTTATTGTTTTTTAAAGGAAAGGAAAAAGTTGAATGCAATGGTGAATGCTAGCTATACACGAAAAGGAAAAGCAATCTCTTATGCCAAAGAAAGTGAAAATACCGAATGCCAAATGGTATTATTGGTCGAATAATTGCAATACTAAGTAATTGTTAAGAAAATTTTACTCATTCATACCAATTTTTTTTTATTTAACTTTTTAGGTAATCGATGATAATGTTTTAACAAAACGTCAAATGACACAATGTGCACGTCTGGAGCGTGAGAGATCGGAATGTTTTCCAAGTAAGTCTACTCCTGTGCCTGCACAAATTCCTATGCCTACACAAATTCCTAAGTTTCTAGCAGAACAAGCTATTCAATCAAATGTCTCTGGGTCATCATCTTTGCCGACAATGCTTCGAGAAAATCCTCCACATAATCTTTAAGAAAGCAATTTTGTTGAAGGCACTTCGGTGCAATCGACACCACCGTCTATTGGTGCCATGAACAACATTACTATTTTTGGCCATGTAAGATCTTACTCTAATATATTTCTTTTACAACCTTTCATAATATATAATCTTTCACTAATTACAATTTTTTTAACCACCTTTTTACAAATGGATAATGACCTAGATCGTACAATAAGTCGATTTTCTTATGACTCATTTATTACTTCTTATTTCACATCGCTCAATTTAGCTTTACATTTTTTTGAATTTCTAGGTCAAGTTACTTCAAAAAAACAACATAGGCGTTGTGATTCGTGATGAACATGAGCTTAACCACCTTCACATAGCTGAAATGGTAACAACAAATTCAAATATAATGATATTTGCATTATTCTTTTTAACTATAATGGTTTTTAACTTACACATATTATTTTGTTGAAAGGCAAAAAGAAAGGCAACTACCATGGTGATCGCTAACTCTAAAGGAAAATAAAGTAGGCTCTTCTGGCAAAGGACAAGAAAATACAGGACCTCAAGTGGTATGAATGTCGAATTCAACAATTAAGAAATTTATATCTAATTGCTTATGTTCACAACAATGATTAATAATTATTATATATCAAAACGCCAATTGGCACAACAGCATGTCGAGAACGGGAGAGATTGGAACGTCCATGCATTCAACCTAGGATTTTTCCTATGTTGACACCGAGCCGCCGTCATCTACCTCAACTAGGAAGATCGATAGTCAAAAGATCTTTTGTTCAATCCTCATCCATGCCTACGAAAATTCCTGAGGTTGTACCAGAGCAAACTGTGGAAATAAATTTCACAAGGTTATCGTCTGTGGTCACTATGCTTCGAGAAATGCCTACACAAAATTTAGGCGAAGGCAATCTTGACGAAGAAACCACGGCGCAAATGGAACCACCCTCTATTTGTTCCATGGAAAGCCCTATGCAAACAGTAGAACAAACTGTAATAAATGAAACGGGGTCATCATCTATTATGACCATGTTCCAAAAAATGTCAAATTTAGATGAATGTAGCACGATGCAAGCTCCCTCTAGGAGGTTATAAATGACAACTTTCTTAATGTTATTATTTATGAGCTTGATTGAAGGCATCACTATAACCACAAGTTTTTTAGCTTATATATTTTAATTTAATTTATGTAGTGTTGAGTTTGATCCTCGAACACATGGAGTAGAAGGTTGACATTCACTCGAAATTATGAATGTACCATGTCCTCATTGTTTAGCTTTACATTGGAAAGCTGAACAATGATCAAATTCCCATACATGACACCCTCTGTTTGGAACATGTTGTTTGCAAGGAAAAATTAGGATACCACCACTTAATACACCTCCTTTAACACTTAAGGCATTGTATGATGGCACTGATGAACAATCAAAATCGTTTCGGCAATGTACCCACGAGTATAATGCAACAAATGCTTTTACAAGTCTTGGTGCTACCTTGGATTCGAGATTGGTCACTAGGAAAGGGGTCCTACATCATTCATTATCCATGGAGAATTACGACATCGGACCGGATCACTTCTGCCACAACCAGGTCAAGATGCAGTATACTTCCAATTGTACATTTATGACCCTACTTCAGCTTTAGACATTCACAGACGTAGAAATCCTCACTTGCAATGGGATGTTTTGAAAATTATTCAAGATTGTTTGTTACACGTAAATCCCTTTACAAAAAAATATCAGCAAGCTTATGAGATTTTAAGTCAATAATATGTGGCAACTCAAAATTTACCTTCTTATCTTCGTTACAATTCTTCCACAGATCGACGTCGGTATAATCTCCTAGCAACAGATGAAATTGTGGTAATATTACCGGGCGATGGAATTGAATCAAGTGGAATGAGAGATATTGTTTTACATATGAGAGAAAATAATTGGCTGATGCAAATTAATGAATGTCACCCCGAATATTTACCTTTACATTATGTGTTACTTGCTTGAAAAATTCCTTGTTGTTTCCTAACCTCTAAGCATCACCTTTTAGCATGTATAGTATATGAATGAAAGGGAGTGTCACTCTCCTAGAGATGATGTCAAAAGAAAGGGCAACGAAATGGTGGATGAATGAGATTTCACATATGAGTATGTGTGAACAAAAGTGCTCCCCAAGCGCAAGGAGACTTTCGTGGATCGTGTTTTACTTGGTGATATTCCAAGGTCGTTTCACGGGAAAAAAAGTAAACCGAGGGGAAGGTGATTTTGGGAGAAAGAAAGTGTAAAATCTTTGATTGTTGAAAGTTGTTTGGTGAAGTTGTTTTGATGCTAGTAAAATGAAGAAATAATATGATGAGAAGACATTATGAAGAAATAAAGACTAGATTTAAGAATAAACGAAATGCATAAATATAAATTCCGGATAATCTCCTCTTACTAAAGATTGGATGAGAAACTACCCATTTTTCATGGCTTTGTTAAAGCTAGAAAAGTGAGTGATGCTCATCCCTCCAAGTAGAGCAGTTACAAGGTAAAACACTTTACACAAGAAGCCGATCTTCGACAAAGAATGAGTGAATCACGTTCCACCCTTCACGGCTTTGATAAAGCTCTAGAAAAGTGGAAGAGTTTCACTCCTCTAAGAGAAGAAAGAAGCTCAAGCAATGGAAATAAAAGAAAGCAATAACACAATAAAAGAAAGCAATACTTAAAGTAAAAGAAAGCAATAGATTAAAAGAAAACAATAATACAACAAAAGAAAACAATACTTAAAGAAAGCAATAAGCAATAAGGAAAGCAATAATACTTTTGGAGGGTTTTTCACTACCAAAATATGAATGTTTTACAAGTCCTAAGGGGTGGTATTTATAGGCAACAAGGGAGGGTGAAAGTCTTGTTAGGTGGCTTTGAATCTTGTTAGGTGGCCTTGAAAAGTCTTGTTTGGTGGCATAAAAGTCTTGTTAGGTGGCCTTAAATCTTGTTAGGTGGCATGAAAGTCTTGTTAGGTGGCCTTGAATTCTTTGATCCCCTTTGTTTTGAGCTTTGATAATTGGCACCCCAGTAGCTTGTAGCTTTAATGCAATTGACTCCACAGTAGTTTGTAGCTTTGACGTACAAAACCCTGAAAAGAACAACAATTAATGCATTATCTTTTATTCACACACTAACTCTAATTTGATTTATTTTGACTAGTTTACTTTATTCAACTAACACAATTTACCTATTAAATTATGCCTTAATTAGGGTTAATCACACCTCCAAACTAAACATTACTAGTCCCTAGTAATAAATAACAACATAACAAAATAAAATCACTTTCGTAGATAACACGATTGCATTTAGCATATGCAACAAGCCGTTAAACCCCTAGGTGATCCATATTGGACGAGTTTTGTCTCGTGAAAGGTTCTAGTGAAGCTACCTACAAACTCCAATTAAAAGATGTGTATATGTAAGATCAGAATGAGTTAGCAACAGAATCGATGAGACACACGTTCCTTAATTTTGAATTGTTTCCTGAACACTTCTCTGTCATTGGTACATACTCTATACAAAAATAAACACTTGTTACATTGGTATTTGAAATTCCCTGTGTAGTAGTAATGATCATTCTAGTAGCAAGAATTGTTATATAACAAATATTCTACTTTATCACCTTCCATGGATAGCTTTGATGTCTCAAACCTCTCTTAGAATGCTCTCAGCAAAAAAAAATTCACTCTGATTATAGTGACTTGTCTCTCAAAGGACATGTGATCAGAGGATGGTCAATCGAAGAATCACATGCACAGTTAGAAAGGGAGTGAAAGTCTTAAAAAAGTAGACTAATCATGTTCTTGGCATAATCTCATGGAAGAATATCAATGCAATTAAAGAAATATTATTTAACATACCCTAGTTTTCGGTCAACAACACACACATGCATCAGACTTGAGATCAATTAGGACTTTGTATAGGTTGTAATGTGGCCAGAGGTCAGTGACTAACGAAATGATGTCAATGGTATTCAAAAGCTATCCCCTTTTTAATGTAGTGTAGCACACCTCTTTCTTGTTTTTTGATCTTTTGCCTAGAAATGGTATTTCTTTCTTTCATTTTTTCTCATTTTTCACTTTCTTGGCAATTCCCTGTTTTTTTTCATTGAACAGTAGCCACCATCTTCTTTTCTGTTTTTTTTGCCTTTCTATGTCATACCAATTTATAAGAGGGTGCAAAAAATGGATAGCAAGGTATGTTAATTGTATTTTCTTGTGGCTCGGTTATCATATGGGTTTTTTTTTTTTGAAAAGAAATCATCATTCATTGAAGGCTTAAACATGGCTAACTAGGGATATAATTTCGTAAAAACAATGGCTAAGGCTCAAAATCAACTCAAAAATGGCCTAAAATCCTTTCTCAAGTATGTGCCTATGTATGTGTCGCATGCAAAGGTTCCCTGTGGGATATGTCAATAGATTACTTTAGTTGCATTTAATCAAAACAAGTTTAATGAGATTATTCAACAATTGAAAGTGAAAGAGCTTACTTGAGTAAATGTTGATTGTCTCTCAGAAAGCATCGCAAGGCTCAAAACTTACCATGATATTCTTTGTTATCTCCACTGGTTATGTCAGGTTTTCCAAAGAATGTCAGTTATATTATAATTCTATTTTCGAGTCTGGTCATTCTGTACCTTAAGATTAACAAATACCAATGTACATTTGACATTTAAGCATAGAGAAAATACCATTTTTCAAGGAAATGCGGCTTTTTTTTTCACTCGAATAAAAATCAAAGTTATTTATATACACATTTATCTATGAAAATTGAAAAAAAAAAAAAAACTAAATGCACACATTGAACTTGGAAAACTATGGCGTCTCAAGATAAGTCCCTACCTACGTTACAGGTTGGCATTTTAGGACAATCCTTACTCGGCCCACATCTTTATTCAACAAAAAGACTTTGTACAAAAACAAATATTTACACACAAAAAATTGGACCATTAACCTTCATCCCCAAAACACATTTTTTCAC